TTGGGCTAGCGTTTTTTCCATATTGGCTTCATCTGTTTCCCACTCCACCCTGCCCGCTTCCTGGCTGTAGCACATTCACATAGTTGCCAGGCCACGTTACTTACATTTGCTCATGTTTAAGGTGAGCAGCTCTGTTCAGACCATGTATTTGTTTTCATACAGTGTCAGTGTATTCTCCTTGACATATTTCTCATCTCATTTGGCATCTATTTCTCTTCCCCTATAGGCTTATGTTCTATATCCTTTCCCAATGGATGACATTGAAAATATCTAACCACCACCATGACACAGACACTGAGTAGACAGAACAGAGGTTGGTCATAGCTCTGGGTCACGTTACTCCTGTAGTTGCTAGTCTGTGGGGGATCTAGAATAGGGGCTTCTTGTGAGAGGGGCTGGGGTGGCCAGAACAGCAGGAGACACTTGGATAAGTGATTCTTTCTGTCATGGTGTGGAAGTATTTTGATATTTTAATAACCAGCACAGCCACATCAATGTGTACCCGCCAAGTATGACCCCAGCCTGTTGTCTTTATGTCTGTATGGAGAAGGAAGGAGCTGTGTATAGAAGCTTTTACTAGAGGACTGGACTCTGCTCTGTCTTCTGATACTTGCATGAAGTCTTGAACCATAGTGAATTCTGAATGGAGAGACATATCTACTGTATGCACAGGGGACACAGCCTTTGGAATGTGGGTTTTTCTCCTAATTCAGAGATGAGCTAGTTCCAGTCCCTAATTCATCCTCTGTTTTACCCATCTCTCCCCAGCAAACTTCCTCCCACTACCCACCCCCACCCCACCCTACAACATCCCCACTCAAAAGAAGGAAGAGATAAAGATACTAATCCTGCCCCTACACATCAGTTACATTTCCAAAACCTGAAATTTCAATGAGAGTTCTGTATCTTGTGAATTCCCCAGTAGTGGGGGGGATTAGGGACTATTCTTTCTTGCCAGAAAAATCTGGTCTTTTTGTTTGACTATCATCTTTTGAAGTTTAAGGCACAAGGACAAAGTTGGGCTCCTTCCATTGCCTGATTGCTAGTGAATTTTTTTAACTTTACTTTTTGAATTTTTTATTTATTCTGGTGCTTTATGTTCAGCTGTAGGGGATGGAGGGTCTGTGATCTGGCCATATTTATCCTAAAAGATCCCACAATATAATTTTAAAGGACTAAACCAGCAGCTCTGGAGGTCCTCACTCTGGGCTGCACATTAGAATCACTGGGGAGACTGTAACATCAGTGACAGGCCACATTCGTAAGCCTGATTTAAGTGGTCTGGGAAATGCCCAGATATAAGTGGGTTTTTTTTTTTCTTATTTGCTTGTTTTTTGAGTCCTTCCAGTGACTCTATTGCACAAACAAGAACCATGAGCTGAACGTAGCATTCTTATAGTCCATAATTTGATACATGTAAGAACCTATAAAATACAAACATTTTGCATGTGCATTAACAAAGACAAAATATAAAAAACACATAAATTATTTATACTCTGAGTGGTTCAGTCATTCAGAGTATTTCTTGAACAGCCAAGGAAGCAGGAGGGAATAGAGTGTATAGTTTTGCTTCAAAAATATTTTTATCTAGCTGGCTAACACATCTGAAAAGATCACAAAGCACATAGGCAGTGATGCCCAACTCCTAAGACAATTTAGGATTTCTACCAAGGACAAGGAAGGCACTCTCAGGTGCGGGGCACATTGACTTGAAGGTAAAGTTCATGATTTAATGACAGAGGCAGTTATACTAATAACCAGAATATAACATCAATGAATTAGTCCAGCTACTTTGAGGTCACACTTCCCATCCCTAAGTTCTAATTCAGAAAGTATCATTTAGAAATGCAGGGGATGTTTAGAGGTAAAATCCACAGTGGAGACTGACTGAGTCTGGGAAGATTTTGAGGGTCTTCCAGGAATAAGAAAGAGAAAAGGGCATATCAAGTTTGTGAAGGGACTTAAAGCCTGGCATAGAGTCATAAGGAGCATTTTCGGGTTTGGAAGGCCATGGCAGGTTGAAGAGCAGAGAATCCAGAGATCAAGTTGTAGCTGTGCACAGCAGTGGAACACGGAGGCTAAGGCAGGCCTTGCTGACACAGCAGGTACAGTGAGGAAGTGAGAAAAGAGTTCAGAGTGTGCGGCTTTCTTCCCTGAGAGACTAGAATAATGATGACTCAACTGACTTGGATGGAAAAGCTTTAGGTGCAACCAAGTTTGGCTTTGGGGTTTCAGGTGAAGGCAGGGTATCTAAGGGATGATCAGGAGGTGGGTGGGTCTACACTGGTGTTCCGAGACCACAGCCTAGGTGATGACCTGTGCCTGAAGTATAATTGAAGGGTTATCTGTAGGGAGGAGAGCAGAGAGCCAGGTCTAAATCAGGACAAAGTGGAGAATCCTCTCATCTGCCCCAGTGATCTACAGAACTCTGGAGAAGAGGATTGATTGGTCACTGAAGCACAATGATCAAGGGAAATGGAGGATGAGGGAATTCACTGTCTAAGATGATCTCATAAAAGACTCTGAAGCAGGATTTGACTTCACGATATCTAAAAAACCTTTCCAACAAGCTGGACTCTCAAGCCAAAGCAAAAGGTCCTAAAACTGGCCAGGCACAAGTGTCAGCAAAGATGGGACAACTTTGTTCTCTGAGGATGAGGCATTCATACGGCAAACCATCCCAAACATGATGTGTCCTCAGTCCTGATGTCAGAACGTCATCGTTCATCAATTCTCCATCAGCCTGAACCACAGGGCTCCAAAGGTGGTTATCTCCATTTCGTGCCTCTGGAGGGAAGTACAATGCTAACAGCAGTGGCAGGATGTGTGTGAATGCATGTGGACACACACATAGGACATGTGCTCCTATCATAAAAGCATTTCTTCTAACCTACCCACGAGTGTAAGAACAAATAAAAATATCAACTCTAGGGTCATTCTATTCCTTCTTGCTCTTTTGGTTTCTCTTCTATAGCACAGATGAGCACAGATATTCCAGGCTTGTCTAGGTTATCATAGAGTGACGGTAGAATAGAAAATGCACCAGTACTTGCAGATTCTGGAGTAACAGCAAGTGGCATGCACAGCCACACTCCCTTCTCCTCAGCTGGACCCTCATGACCACAAGGAAGCTGTACTCCTCTATCCCCTGGAAGTTGGGACAGACATCCAAACATGTTCTAAAACCAGCTCTGTTCATCCTCTAGACAGCAGAGGGTACAAGCACCCCAGAGGGTACAGCTGAAGACCAGAAATGAACTCCCTTCATATAGCTCCCACCTGAGCACACTCCTCCACGTGGGCACAGAGAGGCCAGAGGTAGACAGTCTTTACAAATCCTGCTCCAGTGGTACGGATATTTCAGATTTGTAAGAAGCCATTATGAAAAACATCCTTGGGTTCAGTGGGGGTACTACTCATAACTTAGAATAAGCAAAGCCCATACAGACTGACTTCAGGCCTGAAAGGCACTTCCATTCTTACACAGCAAGAAGGATGGTTGTGGTAATTCCTCAACATCTCATTTAGGTTTGCTTTAAGATTTGCCTATATTCTTGGAATGACAGATGAGCTTGTCATAGTGATCATTTCAAGGGATAGTAGCCCATTAAAATTAGTGCATGTAAAAAAGTCAAGGCAGCATATTGTAAAGGTATAGGTTTCTCAAAAAGAGGAACTTTAGGGCAAGGAACAAGGGCCTCCAGAGAGCTGGAACTAGGAAAGGGAAATCAGCCTTCAAGGAAACTTTGCTGGTGTCCTTGGCTATGACATGATTCTGCATCAGTGCTTCTCAGTGTGCCTATACCATTCTTCTTCTCTACCAGCTTTTTCTTCTTCCTTCTCTTGCACATGGCCCAACATGGCCACCCCAGCCCCAACTCTACTTGACCTTTTTGCTCAAGCACCTACCACTCAACGCTTCTGTTTCTCTCTTCTTTCAATCCCTCCCATTCTCAATTCTAATGGACTCTGCTGTTGTGTCTAAAGAGGTGGCTGGAGAGGGTTCAAGTGGGCAATAGTGAAAAGATTCCCTGATAAGGAGGTAGACAGGATAGCTCTCTAATGTCAGTCATACGTATCTGTAGGTATCCTAATATCCACAAACAAGTCTATGAGAAGGAAAACCTGACACATTCAACACTACTTTGGCATCAAGTGATTTAGGCAACAAAGTGTCTCCTACTGATGTCATCTAATTAAACACACAGCCACTGAAACATGCTTAGCCAACTAATCTACTAACTGTTGTGCATCTAGTGTCTCTGAAAACAGAATTAAACCAAGTCAAAGAACATAGCTACCTCTGAAAGGAGCCAGTCTTTCTCAAATGCTTAAAACACCCGGGCAAGGCCATTCCAGAGGCTGTCTGATGCTTCAAAATGACCTTTTGTTTAGGTTTTAAGAAATTTCATAAAAACTGTAGAAATTGGGGCTGGGCATGGTGGCTCAAGTCATAATCTCACTTTGAGAGACCGAGGCGGGTAGATCACTTGCGGCCAGAGGCTCAAGACCAGCATGGGTAACATGGTGAAACCTCATCTCTACTGAAATTACGAGCCAGACACGGTAGTGCATGCCTGTAATCCCAGCTACTCATGAGGCTGAGGCATGAGAATCCCTTGAACCCAGGAAGCGGAAGTTGCAATGAGTTGATATTGTGCCATTGCACTCCAGACTAGGTGACAGAGCAAGACTGTCTCAAAAAAAAAGAAAAGATTTTGGAGTTTGGCTGCCTGGATTTGTAGCCTGGCTCTCTTCCTCCTAGCTGTGGGATCTTAGGCAAGTGACTTCCCCAATATTTGCCTCAGTTTCCCATCTGTAACCTGAGAATAACAACAGTATCTGCCTTATGGACTTATTAGGAGGATGAAATGTGCTTATATTTTTAAAGGACTTGGATTGATACCCAGCAAGTCATGTGTGTTCCATAAATTATACTTCTTACTGGCATATTCAATTAGGCAGAAAACCACACAAAAATCTTTAAGAACTTGATAAAATACTTTAAAAATAAGTTTATTATAACTAACGAATATAAAATCTGACAGGTATTTTTAAACATTTTTGCAAAAAAAGTAAAACCCTTCCCTGCCCCCCTTCCCCACAAGATATAGAATAAGGACTTGGACAGAGAAACAATACAAACCTCAACATGAAACTGTCATTCATCAGTTGGTCCTAAAAGGCTCCAACATATTCTATTCTAAGTAAAGGTCCATTAAATTAAGAAGTTAACAAGCCACTTGACACTTTTGTAGTTTAACTTGCTTTCTACTCTGATTATGATGCTCATTCAGAATGCTGAGGGACAAGAACAAGTAAGGTTAAGACTGCATGAGACAGATATTCAAAGTGCATAAATCTATGAAACCACATTCATAAGAATACGAGGAGTGGAATTAAACAGTGACTAAAAAAATTAATCCAAGGAAATCTATGTACATTTTAGCCTTTGGCATCTGGTCTATCATATTTCTTCTTTATGTAGACATTAATTTGTTAAATCTATTAGCCAGATTAAATTTATCTGAACACATTTCTCATCTGACATAGATTGTCCACAGCCGATTTCACATGAGGTAGTTGGGCTGTTTAATGACATTCTAGTGAAATTCGCATGATACATGGGAATCATACATTAAACATGCCATGGAATTGGCTCATAGCCTTCTGGGAAACAACAGAAGTACTTCTAAAGCATCCTTCCTATCAACACTGACTCCACATACACCTATAAATAGACACGCATACACAGGAGTCTGTGTGGTAAGATCGACTTTGTAAGGGGTATCAGCCATCCCAGGGTGGTTTCTGTTTGTAAGGTACAGGGAGGAAATACTGACCACACTTTAAAATATATGAAATATTTAGAATAAGCAGGATATTATTCTTCCATTTTCATATAGATTAGCTGAAAACATTTCTTCACTCTGGAACAGGAGTGATTAATACGGGAAACAAAGAATTTTGAAGCCTTTTGCATTACAGAGTAGTGGTATGTTTTTTTCCTTTTAATTAAAGGCTATATTAAAACAGCAGAGGAGAAAGATCAATGCATGCATCAACTGTACCAGAGAGGCACTGTTAATGACTGTTTAATCATGCCCTGGAGTGCCTGAATGCAGCAGTGCAGTGAGAAATCATGCAAAGGGTCACTGTATACAGGACTACTGACTGTCTGAGACAGGATGGGAATTGGGAACATTTACAGGGACGGTCCAGTAAACAGTACATTTATGGAATTGCTGAAAGAACTCCTAATGACCTTGTAATACAGATAAACGGTCTTAAAATACCATTAGACAGCTAGTGAATTGTTTTTATGAAATTACTATGAAAACCCTGAGTAAGCAACTGCAGATTACAAAGGGACATACAGAAGTAGACCCTATTTCTAATGAAAACATTCTATATACAATTCATAGGAACACAAATGTACCATACATCATGAAGCTTGTGTAGAGAGCTTACAAGATGAACTCAGGCCCTCTAAGACCAAACACATTAGCTCAGCTGACAGAACAATGGTTGAAAATATATTTTACTTATAAATTTTACATCTAAAAATTTTTAAATTTAAAAAAGGTTGATAGATTATCTTTAAAAAAAGAAATGAAACATGAGGATGGGAGAGCTGAATAGTCGGAAAACCTGTGACTAAAGTCAGAGCAACTGATTTTAATCAATGATTAGGAAATGCACCGTTATATAACCAAGTTCTTGTAAGACATGGTAGTTTAGTAGGAAAAAAAAACTTGAAATTTTCCTCCAGAATGTTCCCCAATGCCTCGCATCATCGTCTATTGCCCATTACCCTCTGACTCTATTGCCTTATCTGATACATCTCCGTATGTTTAATTTTCACAATCAGACTAAGTTTCCTTAAAAAAAAAAAAAATCTTACTTCAGCTCTTTCCCTCACTTCCAATTTAGTGAAGAAAAATGTACTTTACTTATTTGGTCCCTATCACATATTTCTAATTGAAAACACTTTTCTGAAAATATAAAGTTGAAAGCATCAACTTTTTGTTAATATATATGGAAAGCAATAATCAAAAAGAGAAGAGTACAGATTTTTCCAGCTGCACTCCCCTAATAGATCATCCTTCTTACGTGTCCCATGTCATGTCATTCACCTGCTTTCAGCTACAAATGGGAATATGGGCTCCTTCTTAAGGAGCTCTTGCAATCTGGGGAGGAGGGAACTGAATTCCCATTGTCTGGGCACCTAGCCCTGGACTAGGTTGATGCCAGATGCTCTACATATGTGCTAGAAATTGCTCCTGAGAAATGGGGCAGAACAAACATAAGCAGGGGTAGATTTGGTTTGCTGATGGCGGTACCACTGGCAACTTTCAGTAGCAAAGAAGAGAGAAAAGCAACAAGGCTGGACTATGGAGTTCTGAAATTCCTCATCATGGAATATGACATTGGGGGACGTTTAATAATCAAAATGACATGCAAATAATGACGAGAAGGTGCCTCAAGCCACTACTTAGAGATCCTAATGAGTACTACCCTTCAAAGTCAATGTCTTGGACCCACAGGCTCAACATTCTGTGAGAGCTCCTCTTCTGGAACTCCCTTCAGAGCTACATCAAGAGCCAGTGAGAAAATCATCTCCTCTTCTTAGTTATAATTTGGTTTCACTCCCAAAAGGGATCTCTCCAATTTAACATTTTTCACCAGCATTAACTATAAGGAATCTGACTTGCTTTCAAAAGTCAAGAGACTTGCCATCATTGAAAATATTTTGCTTAATTCAACAAATACACCCTGATCCCTACCAAGTGTAAATACTGGCTTCTACTGTGGGGAGAAGTGCAGGCATGATGAAATTGTGTGTGTGGAAATGTCTCGTAAGGGGTTAGCCTAATATTTCTTATTCATGTCTAATAATACCAAGTAGACCAATTTCCTTTTTCTTCCGGTTCTCTCTAAAGGTTATGCTAGAAAAATAATCCTGAAAATGCTTTGAGCAGGGTGATTACTCTGCCAACAAAATACTAGTTTTCTCACCTCCTCTCACAGTAATGTTGAAAGCAAACTTAGGTGTCCCAGCAGTCTTGGCGGGCTATGGAGAGAAAGCTTTAAGTATCTTTTCTCATTGCCTCCTTCCTGGAAAGTGACTATACATTAGCACAAATTATGACTTTAACTAAAACAGAGAAGCAAACACTGTAGATGTAGGAGGAAGCTCTGACTATGCCAAAGTTCAGGTTAAGCTAAATTTACTGTTTAGTATTAGGTTCAATTTCTAGATATTTTTATTTAAAGATCCTCAGTTCCTTAAGCAAACTTTTATATATCTTAGGCAAACTTAATATGTTCCAGTGGGGAAAAATCACCCTCTTTCTACAGATGTGAAAAAGGGTAAGTGGAAAATGTAACTTACTCAAGCTTTTCTGTCTGATCTGGGTTCTCAATGATCCCAGAGAATATTAAACCCCTCGTTCCCAGCAAACTGAGTCGTGCACACCTAGGCACTACCTATACAAAAGCAAAATGGCCATGTTGAGCAGCTTTGAGTGTATTCGGAGCCTCAGTGGCAAACCTGAGGTATTTTAAGAGTGCTACCTCTCCAAGAGACCACAGAGTTTACCTGAGGTGACGGGGAGTACCAGCAGCTGTTTAGAATGATCATGCTGCACAAGTCTAACAACCACCTGGTAGCATCCCCTCTATGGGCACAATGCCTAAAACATCCTCATTCAAAGTACAAGCAAAAATTGGCTGCTTTTTCTTTTTCCCTTTTAGGAGGCTATGTCAAGGGCAGGGACTATCCCTGAGTCCTGCCATCATATTCAATACCAATTAGAAAAGGAGATCCATACTCACTGCTCATGAGGGTGGTAGGGAAATAATAAACACATACCTTAGCAAAATATAAAATAAATAATCAACATCATTTTAATATCCCCCTTCTCCCTAGCCTTATTAAAACATGTGATGTTGATTTTTGAAGTTTAAGTATTTTCCAGAAGGCTTTATGTGGGCAAAATGCCTAATTAATTTGAGCTAAATAAATGTTCATTTGTTTAAAGACAGACAAAAGGCAAAACCAATACTTCTCCCTACATAAACTTCTTGACTCAAGAGAGAATTCTCTCCATCCTAGAGATCTGCAGTAGGAACAGCATCATCTAGAGATGATGCTCAACTCAACCAAGCCTCTCAAAGGACCTGCTACCCTGGCTAACTACCTTATGCTGCAACTTCTCTTCCTGTTACTAGAAGGAAGTAGCCTCTAACGGGGAAGGTACCCATGGCTTCTCTCCTATGCACACTCGAAGCAGCATGGTCTACTGAGACCAGGGCCAGGGTTGGGGCATCACACTGTGCAGAAGAACGACCACGCAACATTGTTTTATGAAATACTTAAGTGTCATCTTTGAACTATGACACTGTCACAGAGCTTTTTGAGATTGATAAACAGCTGCATTTTGCCTGCTCTGCACTTTTGGTGATTAAACCAAGACTGATCGGTTCAGAGCCACAGCCCTTGAATGCAATGCCAAGGCCTACTGGTTGGGTGTCAATGCTGGCTCAATTTAGAATATTGCTGAGTAAACTTGCTCCACTTCTCACTCTCCGTTTAGCTATTTTATTTAAATGGCAGCCTCCTCCTCTTTGAAAAAAAGGATGTATCATTTAGTTGAAGGAAACTGGGAATTCTATAAACTAGAATTTAATCTAGTTGCTCTTCAATACTGTGTGCAGAAGAATCATGTGTAAAGTTTATCGAAATGCAGATTCCTATGGCCCACCACCTAGATTCTGGTTCTTTAAGTCAAAATAAGGTCTGGGAATCTGCTGTTTGAAGAAGCACTCCATGACTTTAATACAGAGGCAGTCCAGGTCACACTTGGAAATTACCTGGCTCTTCTACTTATAAACTATGTGACTGTGAACAGATCCCTCAACTTCTAAACTTTGCTTTTGAAGTGGGGTAATAATCCCTTTGAGTATCATTCCTTGTGATGTCCCATTGAGATAATGCATGGAGAACATGTTGGTACATGGTAGGTAGTTGGGAGGTGTCATCTCAAATGAGCTGTCCCACCTCTCCCATATTCTCTCCTCCAGCTTGGGGTTAGGGCACACTATTAATCTCAGAGCAGCAGTCTCATGCCTCTCAAAAAGGATTGGACTCCTGTCCATGTCTTCTTCACCTCCCAAAATTTCATGGTCATGTGAATGCCCTAAACATTTTTACTTTACAGGCCCTTATCACTGACAGAGTTACAGTGAAGAGGGTCCACTGAAGAGCATCTAGGAACAGCAAACTCCACACAGCTTCAACAAAGTGGCATATACTACCTCCAAGTGTCTAGTCTAATTCTAAGCTGGCTGAAACCGTGGCTATGAATTATAGTACTTAATACGAAACCTGCTGATTTTCAGCTTGGGTTTGGGTTCATTAAAACTAAAACCTAAAAACAATACACAGTAACAGCAAATTCATTTGTTAAATCTGCTCTTATAACTTGCTGTTCAAGTCTGTAACAGCTTATCATTTGGTATCCAGTAGGCCTGCTGAACTGAAATATATAGCACCTTGATCTTTAAATACACAAAACACATATGCATTTTAAAAATTATATATAAAAGCACTGGGTTTTGCCTCTTCCTGTCCATCCCCCAAGTGAAGGGGTTGGAGAGGGCTGAGGCTGTTGCTGGAAATTAAGTAGGGCAACACAACACTTTAGCACTTTATTCCCTGAAGTTAGGAGGTGCTGCCCAGCAGCCATCATACCACCTCATCAGACTCCAGCCCGTGGACCTCATATAAAGTGTCCAGTATGGCCAGCTGCTTCTCCATGGCAGGGAGGTAAAGGCTGAGGTCCCTCTGCATCCCAATACTGAAAGCTTCTTTCTGGTGGTCACCTTCCTTTATGGTTAACGCGGCCACAAAATCTTCATAGGATGGAGCTGCCCTTAAAGCTAACTGCAAAAGAATCACCCATGAATATCTGTATCAGGTCTGTCTCTCACACACATATTTTTAGGCATGTGCACATGCACCCCACACTTTCACACATACAAACAGCTGAGAAGAGCAAGAGTAAAGAAAGACGACTACCCTTCTAATTTGTGGACTCTAAAATTATGTTTTAAGGACCAATTTAAATAACTCTAACGCTGGAAAAAACAAAGTATGTACTTGGGCCACCTTCAAGATAAATAATGCTATCACATCAGGGAATGCAGAGAGAGAGTTTGAGAAAAAGTCTCTTCTGATCCCCAGTGTGATTCAGACTATTGCCCTCAAATCCTCAGAATCTATATGCGTGTTGCCATCATGGTCTTTATTCCCACATGGCCAGTCTTGCAGGGCACATCATTCTTATTTGTATTTCATCTCCATATACATTTCTTTGCATATCTTCTATTTGCCCCCTATATGAACAATATTTCCTTTGTGCTCTTGAATACTTTCTAGAAAGGAAGGGAGCTAACATTTGTTGTCTGCTTGTGTGCAGATGCTTTAACATAGTTTATTCTAGTTAATCTTTGTAAGACCCCTGTATAGTTTTTATCTGTATTTTACACATAAACGTCATATAGCTAATGAGTGCCAGGGCTAGGATCTGAACTTGGATCATCTCTGTGTGTTTCAATCACACCACCATACTATGCCACTTCCCTAACAGATTTCCTAGGCTCCTTATCCTTCTCTTCCTTTGCGGGCCAATATTCCCTAAGCTTGCTAAAATCTGTTTTCTGGCATTCGCTAGATCTCAGCAGAGGCTTTTTGGAGAATCTTGAATTATCACTCCACAGGTGCTTTTCTGATCTGCCTTATATCTTGAAAGTCTTTGAGAATAAACCCGCCCCATTTTTGCAGTAAGAGAGTAACTCGCATTATCATACAGTGGCTAAACCACAGACTTAGATAAAGCAGACCTGGACTTGAATCTCTTTCACATACTAGAGTTTGAGGAATTTATGCAAAGTGCTTTACTTCCTAGAATCTCAGTTTCCTTATTTATAGAAGACGACTAATACAACTTTCCTTATTTTAAGAATTGATAGGATATGTAGGAAGTGTTTAGCCCACTGTCTGGAACATGATAAATACTTAGATAATGGTAAAAGTACAAGGGAATGGGAAAACTGAAAATGAAGAGAAAGCAGTTGTTCAAGAACATAATTCAAGAAAATCGCCCAGAACTGCAGGATAGGAGTCTCCAGATTTAAAGACCTAACCAAGTGCTCAGTATAATGAATGATCTAAAGGGCACATCATGAAATTTTAGAATGTGGGATAAAGTAAATATTCTAAAACATCTTGAGGGTGTCAAGGAACAGATTATATGTAATCTATATGTCAAGCACTTAAAATAACATCTTGTTCATGTTAAGTGCTCAAAACTGTAAGCTGTGGTTGTAGCTCTTGTTATTGGACACAGCAGTTCTACTTCTAGGAACCTATTTTGAGGAAATAAGAGTTTTAGTTAAAAATGCATATAAACAGATGCTGTTTTATTTCTAACCTGTTTTATTCTAATTTATTCATCATTCCTATGATACCAGATTTTACAATAGTAACAGTGGAAGCTGGAGGACAATAGAGGAATGCCTTCAAAATTTGGAAGGAATTTATTTACTTAGAATTCTATACTCAGCCATCAGCACTCTAGATAAAAAAGAGGGAGAATCAATAATAGAGTTCAACTGTCTAGTCTGATTGAGAGAAACCAAAAAGGTCAAATGAAGGCTAGTTAGTGACCAAGATGGAGGTGGCCATGTTGCTTGAAATGGGTATCAGCTCAGTAAAGTATAACTGCTGGAAGATCAAAAGGTCACTATTTGGCTGATAAATGAGTCAAATTCCTTGGAGGTAAACAATGTCTCCCTCAGCAACTGAGATTAGGTAACATGAATTTGGCTCTGCAAGTTAGCATGTTAGAAAACTCATAAACCTACCAAAGTAGGGATGACTTGGAGACTAACAGAAGAGAGGGTGAAAGGGCCAATAGAGCTATAGACTTAACTCTTCTATTGATAAGGCTGTTCCCAAATGCATCACATAATTTATTTTCTTAAAAACCAGCACCTTTAAAAATTATTGGCAATAATATTTAAAGGCTTCAAGATGTTTTTACTCTACAGCCTGGGGTATATTACTTCACTGCTTTGTGTCTCATGTTTCTCTGTCTATAAGTAGGGAAAATAATGGAATTTATCTCAGGGTTATGAGACTCAGAAATTTATATACATCAAGCACTTAAAAGAACATCTTGTTCATGTTAAGTGCTCAAAATTGTAAACTGTGGTTGTAGTTCTTGGTATTCAACACAGCAGTTCTACTTCTAGGAACCTATTTTGAGGAAATAAGAGTTTTAGTCAAAAATGCATATAAACAGATGCTGTTTTATTTCTAACCTGTTTTATTCTAAACTTAGAGCAGCTTAAGTCTCTCATACAGAGGACTGAGCAAATAAATTATGACATCTCCATACTAGGAAAATATTATACAGTCACTAAAAATTGTGTTTTCTTCAAAGACTCTTTTATGGCATTTAAAAATGATCACGATAGAATCTATTCAGTTGGGGGGATATAAAATTATACAAGCTAAAAGTACATTTTTTTTACTGTTAGAGTGCCTGGTACACAACAGGTGTCCAATACTACATGGTAGCTATTATGATCATAAAAGGTATATTGAATGTAAAAGTAAACAGTTTGTAGCTCCACTTGGTCAAGCACCTATCCCAGTGAACAGTGAATGGAGCTTTAATCTCTATGCTTTCAAAAAATACTTCATTTTTACTAGTATTTGATTTCTTGCACTGTACATTCTTCCCACGTTACCGGCCTCCTAATAAAGCATGACCTAAACAGTTCTTTCTTTAGGCAAACTATGTATCCTTTACATCAGTAAAAAATATCATCTGCAAGGCTACTTTATTCCCCAACCTTCCAAAGAATGTGAGTGCCCTCTATGAGGTTTTCTGGTATACAACTGCATGATTGACTTTTCATGACTAGATTTGACTAAGACTGACCTTTCCCTGGATGGGAAGAATCAAAGAGTGTTAATACTGACATAAAGGAGCCAACTACTACTGCTGTTTTATAAAGCAGGCTAAGTAATTTCCCCAGGAGACTAAGAGTCTCAGGTTTGTGTTCTTCCTAAACATGCTGGGAAGAAGTGGGTGGTGGGTAATCGCAGCCAAAACACATGAATACAAACACCTTCCCAATGAAAATAACTGGCTAAGAAGAGATTTCTAGCCCTAGCCACTGACATACCCAATACAGTTAATATTCAAAGACAAAATTCAATTGGGGGGAAAAAATCAACTAAGACCTAAGAATTAAAAGTACTGAATACAGGGCTGGGCACAGTGGCTCACGCCTGTAATCCCAGCACTTTGGGAGGCCAAGGTGGGTGGATCACAAGGTCAAGAGATCGAGACCATCCTGGTCAACAGGGTGAAACCCCGTCTCCACTAAAAATACAAAACATAAGTTGGGCATGGTAGCCTGTAGTCCCAGCTACTCAGGAGGCTGAGGCAGGAGAATTGCCTGAACCCAGGAGGCGGAGGTTGCGGTGAGCTGAGATCACGTCATTGCACTCCAGCCTGGGTAACAAGAGTGAAACTCTGTCTCAAAAAAAAAAAAAAAAAGTATTGAATACAATGGGCAGCAGAGGGAGCTATAAGGTTGACTTCATCACCTGAATGATTATTTCCCTTCAATGATAGGTATTTAGGATAGCTGCATCCTACCTACTTCTGCTAGGATACTTAAGCTTTTTACTACCTTATCAGAAAAGCAACCACTTAGGAGGCAAATCTTCCCAAGGTCATTAGAATTGGCTGGGGTAATTAGAATTGGCTAGGGTAAAGCATCAAATCTCTTATTCCTATTTCTTCTACAGTCTTTGCTATTCTAGACAGTTTTTATTGCTGACATTTTCATACACCAAAGGCCTATAAATATAAATGAAATAAATAACATTTTGTTCTTATTCTCAAAAACAAAGTAAACAGAAACACACACACACACACACACACACACCCTTGTTTCTGGCAATAATGACTAAATAAATAACTGGATAAGAAGAGATTTCTAGCCCTAGCCACTGGTACACCCAATACAGTTAATATTAGGAGACAGAGGATCACTTACCGCAAAAACCCCTCGAACTACCCAGCCATGGTGTTGCCGCAATGTTTTACCATATGCGTTATCTTGAAAAGAAGAAAAACTCCATGAGGAACACTTTCATCAGAATCTGATATGCTATTTGTAGAATGTACTTTTTTTGTTTTTTAAGAGACAGGGTCTTGCTCTGTCACCTAGGCTAGAGGGCAGTGATGTGGTAATAGCTGCAGCCTTGAACTCCTGTGCTCAAGCGATCCTCCTCAGCTCCTCAAGTAGCTAGGACGACAGGTGTGGGTGCCCATGCCCAGCTAACTGATTTTTAATTTTTTGTAGAGATGAAGTCTCGCTATGCTGCCCAGGCTGTTCTGGAACTCCTGGGCTTAGGCGATCCTTCCACCTTGCCCTCCCAAAGCACTGGGATTACAATTGTATGCCACCGTGCTTGGCCATGTTTGTATAATGTACATAGTAGCATGATACTATTGGTATTTGGAAATGATGGAAAAACCCTAATTATAAGATTTTCGACCCCAAAAATTTAAAGCAGGAGAAAAGCCCACATGGAATTTTTTTTTTTGTTAAAGAAACATAGATACTTCCACTCTTACTCTGAATCATTCAATATATCTGAACTTCAGCTTATTATCATGATGGGAAAAGGTCAATACATATAAAGACACAGAGGAGGAGGAAAGGATATTGAAAAATTAAGACAATACAATTAGAAATACTTTGAAATGTTGTGTGACCCTGAGCCAATCCCTCAGCTGCCCTCTCTAACCATCTGTTTCTTCCTTTGTAAAATGATCTCTAAGATTCTTTCCAATTTTAACATTCTATTCTGGGATGCCAAATGTTTGTCCTAAATGGCCCTATGACCCTGGATATACAGTATTAAAAGCTAGAAACCTTCAAAAATATTTATGAAAAAAATGCCTTGAAGTTATTAAGCTAAAGTAATCAGTGAGCACTATATTAATAAAAGTCATTCATGTTTTATACTTTAAAGATAACCTATAATTTTTATCCCAATGTGTTTATTTTTATTTTTATTTTTTGTTTGTCCCAATGTATTTTAAAAGGAGATTTTGAAACTGGCATATAATAATTTTAATTATGAAAAAAATCCCAGGAGCCAGATGGATGCATAAACTTTGAATAATTCAATATATGCAAAATTCAAAATGGATTTCTCCACAGGAATAAATGCATTCTCAGGAGGCAAAGATCTACATCACCATGGTGCATTTTTATTTCAATGTTCCACTTTATTTCCTAAGCATCATCTCCAGTAGCTACAGAGCACTCATTCCTAAATTAACAGCACAGCGTTACCATGGGGGCTATTTGACCTTCTTCATGTTTCTCTACATCTAAATTCTTTTTCAAGCATATTTATTTTCATGTGCTAGTTGCAGCACTAGCACAAGTACTACCACCATTTTATGGATGCTTAGGTGACATTCTAAGGCTACAAAAATATTTTCAATTCTAACAAGAGAAGGTAAATAGACACTAAAACCACAAGTACAAGTTCCTATGCAGTGAAAAGCAATGTGGTACACAGGACACTGCCAAAGGAAGTCAGGTATTTATCTGCATTTTACTGGCCAAAATGGCACTGCCAAGTGACTGCAGATTCAACACAGTTTACAATCAACTCAAGCCTTCCAGCTTTGAAATTATGTCATTCTAGCCAACTTTGTTTTAAAAACTGGAGTGAAGCTTTCTTAATACTTTTAGTATATCCTACTATTTCAATTTTATGTATTCAAATCTGCACAAAATGCAATTATGTATTATATAAAAGAATATACTCAATATATATTGCAATAATTTTATATAAAAGACTGCACATGTGAAATATAACAACAGACTCCCCTGGCTCTCTGAAGCTTAGGAATACATTGGAATGCCGGCATCCAGTGTGCTAAAGCTAAAGCAGAAGCAGCAAGTGATAACTAATACATTCGAGTATGGAGAAGACTCCTAGAACCCAAGATTAAATTGAACTTTTTTCTTAGGAGAACAGTCTACATAAACTAAGAGCTGTTCAGGCTTCATGTTAGCTTCTTGAGCTGGACAGACTCCATCTTAGCTTCTTTGTTTTAGTTATTTTCCCACCATTAAGTATGTAACTGTAGTATGTAGCTGGGGCAGACTAACACTGGGCACATCCAGGAATGCATTTGCTAATAAAAGGCCGAGTTAAGTGGTACCCGCAGAGCCTGGGAATGCAGGTACTGTCAAGTGCTCAGAGCCCCCATTATCTATAAGTTGTATGTCTTTTATAACAGCCTTACCTCTTTCACCTGGCACTGTTTTATTTCCCATGTACTAGGTTATCTTTTAACTTTTTGCTTACTCTGCTTCTGTAAAAAATTTGCTTCAGCTAGGTTCCCCTCCCTTTTAAAACTAGGGTATAAAAGACCACCAAATGTTTTCTTAGGCGCCAAGAAAATTCTGGGCATTAGCCGCCTCTCAGTCACAGATACAATAAAGGACTCATAATTCAATCTCAAAGTGTGGCACATTCCTTAACTTGCTTGGGTACAACACTTAGAACCCAAAATTAAATTTAACTTTTTTCTTAGGAGAACAGTCTGCGTAAACTAGGGCATGGTCAAAGATACATGTCTTCAAGTAGACCAAACAAAACCTAGGTGCTTTTCTGTAAGAAGATATATGGCATCAGGGAAATTTCAGATGGCATATAAGTCCTTAGTGAGGATATCCTGTGAAATGTGAAGAAAGGGGTTGCTGACTCACAAAGTGTGTTGTACAGATGGGAGAGAATACTAGGTACAGCCTCTGATAAAAACCAGCAACACAACCAAATGTTCAACCATGTGAGCAGCCATCTGGGCTAGCAAGAAGGTGTACAGATCCACAGAAAACATCCTCAGGTGAGTTACCTCACGGGTAAGTTATACTTTCTTTCTTGTGACAGTATTCCAGGCAAGGCATTAAATGCCATTATAAATAAAGAAATACCATTAAAATCTGCTAGTGGATATCTACCATGAACACCTGTTCCATTCAACAAGAATCCAGGCCAAGTCTACTGCACAGTAGTATCTTTAGGTGATTTAAATTCAGTCAATTCCCTGTCCTCAAGAAGTTGATGCCTTATAAAAGAGCCAGTCATCTAACAATCATTATTGTATACGTCAATAACTGCTAGAGTAGATATCTGTATGCAGTGCTATAGGAACAGAAAGAAGGGAGAAATTAATCCAGCCTGGGATGGGGGGAGGTGTGTGGACACAAAGAATTCTCAGAAGGAATCCTGAAGTTGGGTAGGGTAGAGAGAAGGGTGGTAGATGGTGCTCCAGACGGCAAGTACCACAGCATTGTGAGAGGTCATGGCGTGCTGGGCAATGGTGAGCAAAACTCACTGGATCTGAAGAACACTAGAGCTTGAGGACTGGGTTGAGGCCAAATTGTGAACACCTTTATCCATCATGTCAAAGATTCTGATCTTCCAGCCGAGGCATAGTGGAAGTTTTGAAAAATATAATTCATTGCTTTTTTTTTTTTGAGTTTCACGGTTCATGTCTGTTGTTGAAAATTTAAAAAAAATTTTTTTAAAGGAAGAACTAAAGAAACCTATAATCATTTCTCCCAGAGATAACCACAGTGGACATCTGGGAAAATATTCTGTTTTTTTTTTCCCCTGTACAGAGAATATTACAGGGGAAAAAAACTAAGACAATATTTTCTCTTCTTCTGTTAGCAAAGTCATGATCATTCTGATTCAGAATTGTGGTAGGGAAGTAACAGGATGAAGTTCATACTTCTTTACAGTCTGGAGCAAATACAGCTGTCCTGGTGTCTAAGCCTCCAGCTCCAAGGCCCACCTGACTGGACAGACTGCTTGTTTAAAAGAGCTCTGGATTCAGTGCTATGCCAACCTCAGAGACCTTATGTCTTTCCTATACATTGCCATTCAAGTTAACCATTCAAAAAGGCATAAACACTCTTTTCCAGGCCCTCTTCTAAAAGACAGCAAGAAGACAAAGACGCTGTGAGTCCAAAAACATGGGCAGCCTGGCTTAAGGATGGGAGACTGTTTGTACAGCAGTACATCTGTGTCTTCCCACCTGGCTCTAGTAGACAAAGCAGTTATTCCTTGTTGTGCTTATACCTTGCCAGAGGAGAGTTTCACTGGGCAAAATGTGGGCCAGATGATCTAATGGGATAATGAATGCAGTGTCAAAAGAATTTGGGCTGGGTCTTGACTGAGGAGACCACTGCTGCAATTTAAAACCAACAAATGAAATAAAAGTCATTAAAAAAAAAAAAGACTTTCCAAAAGTCCTTAGCTAACTTCTGGGGCTGCAAATATCCCTGCCATGTGAGACTGACTGCATTAAAATAAGATGAAGTCTAAGCCTGACCTATTTTGGTTACCTAGTGAAGATTAGATAATGAAATACATTAATCTTCACTGTAATACCCATTCATTATCATAATGCATGTTCTATAATCTGTGAGTATTTTTGGCCTCTGAAAGACATAAATGATACCCTTCTCCCAGTTCTGAGATATGTCAGTTCCCCAGAGACTGACTCAAAATTTCCAAGTAGGAATTCTTGACAGTCACCTTGCTCAATTCTCTTCCTTTTAGAAATGAAGATATGGAAGACCCAGAAAGGCAGTCACTTGCTCAAGGTCACAAAGTTAAAATCAATAAGATCTGGGGGCACTCTTGTTGCATCACATCATTCTGTCAAAAACCTGGTGTTTACTCTTTGTAAACAATGTAATAAAAGTGAAAAATATGCCTTTTCCAATTGTTTTTCTGAAAGAATTGGTACCTTATTCTCGTTATGGAAACAGCACAGATCTCATTCATTTACTATAACTCAGAAACTTGCTATCACATATTTAGAGATTATGCCTAAACCCTTTATAGTAACTGAGAGAACAACCCTTCCATTACTGTTGGTGGATGACCATTCTGTCCAGGAACTATGTATAGGAAAGTGTTTTTCTACTGTACACCTATAATTAGTAAAGTTATTCTGGCTTGTAGAGAGGATGAGAGAAATGCCAATCTAAGTGTTAAGGGAAAGACTAGGAA